CGAAGCAAAAACCTCTCCTCGCAAAACCCGTCTACAATTTTCCTCGAAAAAGGGCAAAAAAAATTGTTCCTAATACAAAATTTTCTTCAAATTCCACTGCGTTTAAGTTCATAGATTTATACAAACACATACATTGCGCAGATGGCTTCTTTTTGTGCGTATCCCGCCATGGAAGCTCTTCCGAGCTCCGTTCGCATGCCCAAATTTCCACAGAATTCTTCAGCAGCTATTCATTCTATCAAAATAACAAGCAATAAGCATTGTGTGTGTGTACGAATTGTTCTGGGTTTTCATAAAACGACAGGATCTCATGTCCTGGCGCTTGCACGTGAAATATCTGAGGATGGCGGTGAAGAAGAAGACTTCCTTTTGAATAATCATAATGGTGGATTTAGTTTAGCTTCTGAAGAGACTCTATTTTCATCTCAGGTATGACAAAAAAATATCAATAATTGTTCTTGCTTTTTTCTTTTTAGTGTTTGATTTCTGTTACTTGGATTGGATTTATGCAATTTTACTTATTTCCGATGCCAGAATTTGGTGGGGAAACTTGCAGTGTTGGTACTTGTGGAGTTATGAACAAATAAATCAAAAAAAAAAAAAAAGGTTTCTTTTTCTGTTTTCTCTTTTCTCCTGGTACTCTGAGAGCCGATTTGGCTAAGCTTAAAAAGTTTACCTACTTGTAAGTAAATGAGCAGTTATCTTCTTTCATGTGAAGTTGAAATTAAGTTAGTTTGATATTGAGGGAAGAAGAGATTGAAGAGTTAGTAATTTCTGTTATTTTTCTTGAAAGTAAGGAAAAAGCAACATGGTCCAGCATGTTTATAAACCAAAAGTATTTTAAAATTACTTTTTTAAGCTTAGCCAAACATGCTGTGAATCACCTAGAATAACTTTAACGGTAATTTTGTATTTACTAGAGCGGGGTATATAATTGCATATGTTTGAAATTTTTGTGCAAGTTCACAGCTTGGATTGAACCAGGCATCCATCGTTTTATTTGGCGCTGTACATTCCTCATGACTTATGTTTAAAAGTAGTCTGTAAATACAAAACATTATCTAATCCTATTTGCTTAGTTTTTTAAGAGAATAATTCTTTTAAAACCTGTTAGAAAATTTATGATTATAATATGGCTGCATGGGATTGGGGCCTTCGATTTGGAACTAAAAATAATGTGATTGAAACTGGGATTTAATTTTCATAATTTTCCAGATTGAAGATACAAATTCCAAGCTGCAAAACATAAAATACGACCCTATTTGTCATAAGTGTGCAAAAGCAGTTTATTTGTCTCATCATAACGGAAATGCAGATATTAAGAGTCCTTTTTACGCTGGCAGCTATTCCATGCTTCTGTTTACAGAGCATAACTATTTTTATTTTTACGCAATGCTTATCATGGTAAATTATAATTTCTTTCTTGATATTGTCTATCAATTGATTTTTCAAATGGCTACTTCAGCTTTGTTGTGATGGCCTCTCTCATATTCTGAAGGGCAATACAGATACCAAACAAAGTGCTGAAAACAAAATAGAAAGCACTTCAAATATGACTCTCATGCCCCCACATGGAAGCACGACAGGGGGAGGTACAAGGGCTGGTCTTTTCAGAACCCCAATATCTGGGGGAGTACAAAATGCAACTTCTGCTCACGGCTTGCCCAGGCCAGCCTTAGCAGTTCGAAACTTAATGGAGCAGGCAAAATTCTTACTTGTTAAGGGACTTGTGTTTATCTTCATTAATTAATACTTCCAGTAGCAGCTGGAATTTATTCAATGGAGCTTCTAATATGATTTCTCCTCAGTGTTTATGTTTTTTTGTTCTGCATTCAAATCAATGCAGGCTAGGTTTGCTCACTTGTGTACCATGATGTCACAAATGCACCACCGGAGGAATGGTTATCCATTTGGTTCACTCGTTGATTTTGTTCAAGATCCTATGGGACGTAAGTTGTGCATTACTTGCTCTCTTGTTTATTACAGGATAATCTTATTTTCTTTTGTTTCCCTCCCCCTTTAGTTTTATTTTAATGGTTTCATTAGCTCTAAGAAAGTAAGCAAGTCAGTAGCTATATATTTGGCCTTTAAACACAACTAGCGGTCTCCTTTGTATGGCTAGAGAATTATATAAATGCTGAAGCTTATGTGACTTGATGGTTATGTGAAGAGATATCTTCGTCCAACTATCGTTCTATTTGTCTCCCTATTGTAGTTTCTGATAAAACTCCTGTATCTTAAACTGGAAGCATCAAATTTTCAGTTTTGTTGTCCCAAAGAGTCCATTTTTCTAAACCAGATTCACTTTTTCAAATGCAAAAAGAAAAAAAGAAAGAAAGAAAGGCTACATAGCAGATAAACTTTTCCACTTCTGCCAAGTCAAACGAGATTGATGAGTGTCATGGTTTATATCTTTAATATTTGGTCTTGCAGATCCAATATTTTCACTTTCACCATTGGCCATACACACACGAAATTTGATAGCCAATCCAAGGTGCACTATAGTAGTACAGGTTAGCAATTTTAAGTTTGCCATACCATGTTTTCTTTTGTGCTTCTCCATCAATGGGTTAATTGATCTGCATAATTCATAGATTCCAGGATGGGATAGCTTATCAAATGCAAGGGTAACAATCTTTGGCGATGTCTACCCCCTTCCAGATGACCTGCAGGTGACTGCCTTTCTCAGCTTCTTCTATGAGATTTAAGAATGAATCAATAGATCTGAGCATGTTTGGCTTCTATTTAAAAAGTTTACTTATATGTACATAAGTTATAAAATAAATAATTTTTTGTTGGTCAAAGTTGGAAAATAAGTTGCTATAAAATAAGAGTTACTCTTACTCCCAAAATAAGTGTTTCTTTCCTTAAAAGTTAATAACATATTCAAACATGTTTGGAAATGAATGTAACTTTTACTATTCATAAGCTTAAGCCAAATATGTATTGCCCCAGTCCAATCATATTGCGTTTGGATAATAGATACAGGATCCAGAATTGCCAAGTGTACTGTCAATATGGAGTTTCTAATGTTTAAATTATGTCTCTGGCTGTATAGTAAAAAACTAGATATTAGTGAATATATATCTGGAACGTTGATTATGCCTTGCTGCATCACCAGGAATGGGCTCATGAACAGCACATAGCAAAGCATCATCAAGGGCCTTCTCAACAGTGGGGAAACTTCTACTACTTCAGGATGCAGAATATAAAGTTAGCTCTTTTTATTTTAAAATCTATGCATCATCACAATTTTTTAAGCCCAAATCTGCTCATATTACAAATCTCATTAAGTTTTTTAAGTAAATCTTAACGGTTTCCCTTAAATTTTGTATGGGATAAATACGTTGTGTAGTGCTATTTTTAGTTCCTAAAAGACGAATGCATTCTTTGAGAGGAACTTATAAGGGTTGATATCTTATTGGCAGCGATATATATTTCGTTGGAGGCTTTGGAACTGTTGCTTGGGTTGATGTTAAAGAATATGAAGCCATTCAACCTGATAAGATTGCAGTCGATGGGGGTGAACAAAATCTCAAGGTTTGTTTTTTTGCTGTCTAGAATTTGCATAGCACAACCTATACTTCAATTAATTCAATTTGCTACTTTGTGATGCTATTTTGATACAAGGTGCCTTTAGTAACTACTTATGCACTTCTTTCACTTGTAAACATTTTTGGCAAGTTTGATAAGTGAATTAGATTGTCTTGGATGGTAATGAAATGAATTTGTTTATTGTACTATCTTAAACCGATGCACTTTGGTTTGTTTGGCAAGTTAGACTATATAGTATTAAATAAGTTAGAATCTTGTCTATTATGCTATCAAGTCCTGTCCATTACCCTGTATCAACCATACCCTTATAACATGTTTGGCGAGGAGGATTGAATAGGATTGGACTTTATTAGAGAAGGGAAAAAAAATTCAAATCTTGTCAATCATGTCGTCAATGTCAAGTATTGTACACTGAACATGCTATTAGTGTTCATGTTTAATTAAATCTGATTGCATACCCCATAGGTTCTTAATGCAATCTTTTCGAAGCCCTTGAAAGAGCTTTTGTCCAAGGAAGCTGATGTAGACGATGCTGCTCTTATATCGATAGACAGCAAAGGAACTGATATCCGTGTCCGTCAAGGTGCACAGGTATACTGCTTCGACGAACATCAGTTCCCCCGTCTCCCACCCTTTTTCCTGTTTATCTCTTTTTGATGTCTAATAGTAACTTATATCGTGTGCAGTATAACGTACAAAGAATATCATTTGATGTTGTGCATTCTGTTGAGACACTAGAAGACGCTAAGGAAGCTCTTTCAACTCTAATAAATCGAGTTCGGGTTCAGAATTTGCAAAAATAAGTTGCAAGTTCCTTTATCGTTTTTATCTTATGGAGAATTCATCACGGGAATGCAAATTTGTAGAATTATGCACTTGAATAATAGCAAGTTGTGAATAAGTAACGTCATAAAATTATAGGCATCTCTCTTCAAGTTTTGGAGTGGGATTATGAGCACATCTTTTTGATAGATTGTTCTTGGAATGTTTTTAATTCATTCCCCACTGTCTGTCTAACAGAATTATGGTATTTACCTCAAATTGATGGTCTCATTGGGTGAGGAATGGAAAGATACATATTCTTAAGGATTTTTGGCAGTAAAAATTTCCTTGAACCGACTGGTTGGCACTATGACCGTCTGGTCATATCTTGATTTTCTTAGCAAAACTCTACTAAATTTCTTCATCTTGCATTAATTTTCTCATGCGACCCCTAATCATTCTGTAAGAAAGTGTTTAGGAGCAAGACAAGAAACATTTAATTCAAATCCTCCAGAACACTCAGGCTACACTACACGTACTTGTGCGTGCTCACAGAGATGCATGATATGCAAAATGGAATCATCAACACTAGCATCACCTTTGCCAATCAGTGTAGGATCGGGCTTTCTCAAGAACTCCTCGTCGTCCCCTTCCATGTCCTTGCCCTTTTCACCATCTTGTCCGAGTGAGAAGTTATTTGTTCCAACGGGAGAACTCTCAGCCCTTTTATTTGATCAAAGAGACACTCGTGAACAAGATTCCAAAAGCTCGTATCGTGCTATTTCACTTTCCTTTGCATTCTTATCCATCTAATGGCAGGCTTACAAAATTGTAGCTCAAAGCCCTTTCTTTTTCAAAGAGATGATATACGATGCCAAACCACGATTTTATGTTTGGTAAAGATTTTTCAAGCTCATAAGGTGGTCAAAAATCATTTTTCTGTCCAAAACTTTTAGGGGATTCACAGCTTTTTCCTTTTTTTTTTATGGCCCATCAGGCATTTATTCATACCAACCCTCACTTAAAGCGGAGGAAAACCATAATAACAACCAATCAATCAATAAAAAATAACGTATATTCACAGCTATCCATGCATTTTGTGAGAAAATTTATAATCTACTAAAAACTTTATCAAACGTACACTTTTACCAAAACTTTTGCATACATTAGATACCATACCATGCCTTTCGTGGCTGTGTTCATTTTCCTTCATAGTTGTTCTCTATTCTTGTGAATGGATTCCTAACATACACAAGAATGGCAATTCATTCGAGAAATTTCTACATCTCTATCTATGTTTGAATATATTTGGATTTTGTGAACCCTTCGAATAGATTCTTGCTGTCTTTTTCAATGGCATTGAATGAATTTTGAACACTTCTGAATGTTTTTTGAACTGTTGAATGTTCTCAAACAAAATG